TCTCAGGGGAAGTGTCCATCCACATCCCTCACCAAGATCTCAGGGGAAGTGTCCATCCACATCCCTCACCAGGGTCTCAGGGGAAGGGAGGTGGGAATGGGCTTCTGTGATTGCATCTAATCCTGTGTCCTGTGTCATCCTTCCTGGTGGAAAGTAGCTGTGTCTGTGGGGTGGACACACTGGTCCTCAGGCCTCTGAAGAACTGGCGGGTAGCCCCCAGCAGCAGTACTGAGTGGAGAGATTTGAAGAGTCGTAGTTCAGGCTCCTGGTTCCTCTGCAGCAGACAAAGAGATCACAGTGCCCCCAGCTCTCAGGGGACTCCTTTGGCGGGATGACAAAGATGAAGGCAGTCTGCCCAGGCCTAGAGGTGGCAGCAGTCTATGCCAACAAGCTGTTTATGGAGGAAATCCACAAACCTTGACAACTTAGAACAGTTTTCGGTGGGGGGGGGGGGAGCAGCGCTCTTAAACTGGAAGACTTGGCATTTTAGACTCCGTGGATTTGAACCAGGCCCCTGTGTTGATGCCTGAGTTTCCAGTATACTAACAGTGCGGTGTGCTCTGAGCTGGCAGTGTGGCAAGCTATGAGCTAACCGTGCCGTGAGCTATGAGCTAACAGTGCAGCGTGCTCCGAGTTAACAGTGCCGTGAGCTATGAACTAGCAGGCAGTGAGCTGTGAGCTCTGGTTCCGTCTTTGAGTGACTTCTTTCTTCAGTACATGCTGGTCAGCCCTCAGGTCCCTAGGATGTGGGCACCAGCATCGCATGCCCCCTGGGGGTCATGCTCACTGAGTGATACATTCCGTTTTCAGCTTTCCACCTGCCCGTGGTGGAAGACTTAAATACAGGCAGAGTCTAGAACTGGGTGTATCTTCGCTGCCTAACTGACAAATGCAGCTTGGGGTTACCACGTGGGAGGCTGGGACTTCGTGTGTTCAAGGGGCAAAGGTAGACTGGAGAGCTCATGGCTGCGTCTGCCGCATGGGATCTCTCCTTAAGAAGGGGCCATACAAGTGCAGGAGAATCCAGGCGTGTGTACCTCCAGTATCCAGCAGGAACAGAAACTTAGACTTCATTCAAGGAATGGAGACAAAGATGTCAGAAGGTCTGGAAGCCTAAAAGGGACCAATGATGTTCCTTGGGGACCAGGAGCCAGAGGAAAAGCCGAGGAAGGAGGACTCCACAGAGATCTCCAAATTCCACCCAAGTGCCAGGGTCCAGAGGAAATCAGAGGTGTCTCTTACAGACCATAAAACTGCCTCCACCCCAAGAGCCACATCTGGATGCTGCCACAGAAGCCGCCAGAGTCCCCGTTGGCCCTGAGCTGCCGCCACCACTGTCCCAGCAGGACTCTGACCTCATCTGCCACCCCTTGGTCTGGATCTCCTTGGAACAGCAGGGTGAGGAGGCACAGAGGTCCTGCCGAAGGATGAACAAGGAGAGCTTTGGGGAGGGTGTCACCTTTCAGGGCAACCGCTGCTGGAAGCCAGGGCAGCCAGAAGACAGACGGCAGGACTTCCAGAGAGGAGGAGGTGTGGCCGTGCGTGGCAGCTGAACTCCATGGAGGCCGCCAGCTCACAGTGGACCGTGTCCTGAGGACCAAGGGGCAGTAGGAAAACAGTCTGGACAGACAGACCCCCGTTCTAGAAACCTCCCTGGGCTGCAGGGAGGAAGGGAGTTGCAGGGAAGAGGCTAGCCTGGAGCTCAGAGGCCAACTGGGCAGGGCCCTTGGTTCCACGCAGGAGAAGGCTGAAGGCTCTCCCGGAAGAGAGAGGAAGGAAAGGAGGCAAGGGTTGAGGATTCAGGAGGTAGAACCAGCCTTTAGCAGCCTGGAAGTGAGATGAATGAGAAGGCAGAAGCTACCCGGGCTGTGATGCACAGAGCAGCCCACACCCTCAGCCACGGGGCGCTGGGCTCCACCGGGACAGTGTGGGGTACTGTGCAGTGCTCGTGGAGAATACACAGCATCTGCAGGCAGAGCCGTTAGCCAAATGGAAATTCAGATCAGAAAGAGTTCTGATTGCTCAGGTGAGATCAAGGAGAGCAGACGGCAGGCATGTGGACTGGATGTCGCCTCTTCATCCCATATCTGCCCCCCCCACCTCCCCTCCCCCCCACACCAGCTTCTCTCAGAGCTGCGGATGAAAACAAGCCAGATCGCCACTTTTGCAGCAGGAGGCGCTGTGAGCAGTGGTCCGGGACACCCCCTCAGGGGTTCTCAGGACATAGGCAGCCTCCTCCAGCTATCCTAACACTAGATTGTACCCAGAAACAGCAGGGAGCCGGTGAACCCTGGTGCTGACTGACAGTGTAAGGGAGGCAGAGTGCCCCACCGGTCCTGATGAACAGGACCCAGGAAGTCTGGAGCAGCTTGGGCCCACATGATGCCTTCCAGCTCAGGGAGTCTGGGTGTGTCCCGACAATACCGGAACAGGGAGAAGGCAGAAAGGCAAGGAGAAAAGCGGCGTGGGTCTTCTGAAAACCTGCCTGTTGGAGAACACAACAGATCCGGGGGGTAAAAGGCTTTCAGCATCCATTATTCACTCGACACTCACTTGAGCCTATGAAGTGCACTTCTTAGTGCCGTAGATTAGCCTGGAAGGGCCTGCTTTATGCTGTGGAGATACATTAATAAACTGACCCCAGATCTCGGCGGCTCAGGGTCCTCCATATTCCCCTCTTCACCCAAACTCCACTGTGCGCTGGACGTTTCTTGAGGACCTCTCCCTCCTAGGAAGTGAGGAAGACTCAGCTTTGGAGGCAGCTTCAGCATCTCTGTGGGTGCTCGCCCAGAAAGTGGGGACCGTGGAGCTGGAGGGCCACACACGGGCTCATCTCGTCGCCAGGGCTGGCACATAGGGATCGGGCTGGCTCTGGGGGTTGATGGTACAAAGTAGCTCTGGAGCTGTGAGCCTAAGCTTCCAGGAGCAGCCTGCACAGCTAGACTTCAGGGAGCTCCTGAGGACCCCTCATCATACATGTGCTCACCTTCAGTCACACTGTCACTCCGGAGACTCTGTCTAGCCCCTGATATTTCCAGCTGAAAGTCAGCTCTGCCCACAGTGTCCACGCAAGCTCTAGGACAGGACACCTAGGCTGAGCCTGAATCGGCAGCCATTGAACCCATGAAGCTGGGGATCGGGGAAGTGCGTCTCATGAGCGGAGTTTCTGGAAGGAGCTGAGGACGTGCCTCTTACTCTGGAAAAAAGCCTAAGATATCAGCCTGTCCAGGACCCACAGGGTGGGTCGGGGTGGGGCCTCCCCTGGAGTGACACTGTCGTTCTGAGGCCTTCAAGGCCTTACTTATTCCATCAGGTGGGACTCAGCTGACTGGAATCCAAAAGCAGCTTACTGGAAACTAGGAAGAAAACCTGTTATGGATGTGTTGTTATGGTAAAAGAGAGGATGCTGTAGGAACGCTGCTGCCAAGTCAGGAGTTCTGTGGAGACCAGCAGGCATGGAGACGAGCCGATGTGGAGACCAGGAGGCCCCATCTAGAAGCTGGAAAGTACTCAATGCTGGTTTATGCTCAGTCCTGGCAGGCAGGGCCTTATGTCGGGTCTTAGTTATAAACTAGTGCTTTTACAGTATGATGCTGTGTGTCAGTATTCAAATCTAACCAAGCCCTCCGAAAGAAGCCATGCTGTAGGCCATCACTCCCGTTCTCCATTACCAGGAAATGAGGTGGCCCCTGTCATCACTGAAGGCAGAGTGAAGCCTGGATGCCCTGCGTCGATGTCAACTGGGTGACATCTAGACACGGTATGACCCGAGATGGAGAGGCTCAGTGGGCAGGGCCTGCATCTGAGAAAAGAGGATTGGCTGGGGCAGAAACATGCTACCCACGAGGCCCAGCATGGGAACCTTGCCACAGGCTGCAACAGTGAAGAACTCCAGCAGGTATAGAAGGAGTCTGTGCCCAATGGCTCTGTGCAAGGCCAGAGCACTACACTTGGGAGAGTAGAGGATATGGCCTGGCACAGAATGGGGACCACATCAGAGGCCACCTCACCTATTGCAGTTCTGTCGGGATTTGCCAAATGTGCCCGGTGGGCACCCAGCCTGGGAAGTTGGCCACTTTTCATTCTCAAGAGCCATCAAACCACTCTCTCTAGAGAATCCCTCACATCCTAGCTGCACAAGGTTTCTGGTTCCTCTCCACGTGGTCTGGGTCATCTGCAGGACACATCTCATAGCCTTGACCATGCCCTTTCCCTCTGGTCCACGGTACTCAAAAGTGCCGAAGTGTAAGGGTCCAGTGTCCACATAGCACAAAGGACTAACTCTCAGCAAACCTGAGCCATGGATGAGCATGTCTGAAGGTCCCATGCGTGACTGATGACGGTGCACACCAAATGGGCAGAGTCACCTGCCTGTATCATGCATTCATGGCCACTGCTGTGTGCAAATGCAAGCTTTTATGGGGCCTCTGTTCAGGACACGTTTTGCTTGGCACATCTGTTGCACAGCCATTTTAGAATTCAACCTTTATAGGCAGTTGGTGTTTTTTTTTTTTTAATGTTGCACAGAGGATTGCATAATGAAGAGTGAGGTTATGTAAGCAGAATTAGCTCTATGATTATCCACATTCAGAGCAATATTTTTTTTTGCAACTGTGCAATCTGCTCCTCCATGTCTCCGTGATGAGAAGAGCCTGTTTGTGATCTTCATTAATAAAGTAATTAAGAAGTGCCTTTTCATTCAGCCCAAGTGTCACGGCAGAGAGCAGGCTGTGGGGGAAATCTGTGCCTTAGAAGCACACTGTCTCCATCTGGGACACACACACACACACACACACACACACACACACACACACACACACACACGGGTCACGTGGTTGCAGCAAGCCTGCCTTGGGCCTGTGAGTTGGGAGCAATGGATAAGATATAATGGTGCCTTAGGAAGCTTGCGTGCACTAAGAGACATGACCAGGACCCAGCACCTGGTAGAGCCCATACTTGGCTTGCAGCCAGCAACAGCAAATGCAGACCCTGCCTGGACGTCCCCATAAGCATTAATTGTTCCTTGCTAGCCCTTAAGAATCCAAGAAAGATCAGGGTCATGGGACTTTAGACCTGGAAGGATGGAAAGGGTTCCCCGTGGGGTGGACCATGTGCTCTGCCTGTGGGGAGAAGTGGCAGAGCACAGTATGGCCATTCTCGGGGTGGGGGGAGGGAGGTCCCTTTGGGTACCACGCAGAGTGCAGAGCGATGCCTCCTAAAACCAGCATGGTCCCCTCAGGGGAATTGGGCTTGCATGCCTTAAATGGAAGAACCTGTCCCTTGTAGCTCCTAAGTTACTCGAGGAAAACCCACATCTGTAGATTTCCCCCTTTTCCTGGGTGAGCTGTGGGCCAAGATCTTTCTGTTAAAAACAAATGCCTCAAAAAGAAAAAAAGAAAAAAAAGAAGAAGAAAATGGTCAATTTGCCTTAAAAATTTTTATTGAAGTAATTCTATTCTATGTGAATAGCATCAGGAGATAAAACCCCCATTATTCCTTTTTTAATGAATTATAATTCAGAAAAATCTTGATAACAGAAAATGACTTAAAAGGCACAATGCAGAGTTCCTATCTTGTTTTCCTTCTAGGCTCTCTCGCTGGGTATGTGTAATTGGCGTCTCTTCAAAGTGGGAACAGGGGCTTTTAACATCCTTGAATCAAGTGGTATTCATTTATTGAGGCTTCAAGATAGAACATGCTTCCTGAAAGATTTTCTCCTAGCCCTTAGCACAGCTCCATTTACAGGGAGGGGGCTGAAATAAAAATGTGTGCACAGGGGGGTTCAGGTTTCTGGATTTGCCGCTGTGTTCCCACAAACATGGCAGCTGCGTTATTGGGGTCCATTCTCTTAGGGCGGGTCACTCTGATGATCGAGTTAATGTACTTGTGGGTCACCTAGAGGTCCTGTTAAGTATAGGTACAGATAAGGTCAGAGGCACGGGCTGAGACTGTATTTGTGATGAGTCTGTTGGGCTTACTTGTACCTAGCAAGGAAGAAAACTTCCCCAAAATTGCTGATGTGGTCTTGGACCCTGAATGCCAGCCCCCCTTCCATGCCACTGATGACAGCATCATTTTTGGTTTTTTTAAAGCTATGACACCGAGGGAAGGGGTTACATCACATACCAAGAGTTCCTGCAGAGACTTGGCATTCGATACTCAGCGAAGGTCCACCGGCCCTACAAGGAAGACTATTTTAACTTCCTGGGTCATTTCACGAAGCCCAAGCAGGTCCAGGAAGAAATCCAGGAGCTGCAGCAGATGACTGAAAGGTGGGTGTGTCAGCATTGGGGGCTGCTTCTGGATTCTGTCCTCCTTCACCCAGACAGTGAAGGCTGTGCTGGCCGGACTTCTGTGAGGCTGTGACATCACACACCGCTTGTAAAGCCTTAGAAATCAGCTCTGCCGAAGAGCCATAATACAGGAAGCTTCCCAGTGTCTTTCCCCAGCCAGCCACACCTCACATGCTCTTTGATATTTTATTAGCTCCCCTTGAACATCGGCCCTTCCTGGCGGTGCACTGCATGGCGCCTGCACCCCACTGTGGCCCATCTAGAATGTAGGCACCATAGGATGTCTGTGACACCCCACAGGCGCCAGGTAGGCTCCTTTAAATGACTACATGGATGAATGAATGGCTGTGGTTTGACTCAGCACTTCTGCTTTGAGGATGTATCCCCAGGATAACCCAGAGCTGCTTAGCAATTACACTGGGTGATCACATCTTGAGTCAGCGCGCAGGCCTTGGGGAGTAGGACCTGGTGTCTGCCTATTGAAATGATTGCTGGGCCGGGCAGTGGTGGCAGTGCACGCCTTTAATCCCAGGCAGAGGCAGGCAGATCTCTGTGAGTCTGAGGCCAGCCTGGTCTACAGAGCAAGGTCCAGGACAGGCTCCAGAGCTACACAGAGAAATCCTGTCTCGAAAAGCAAAAAAAAAAAAAAAACCACTGGAATGCATGAATAGACCAGGATGTCTGTGCCTGAGCAAGGACAGGGAGACACCAAGTGAAGGTGAGTCACTGGATATGTAGCTCAGCTGTGGCTCCTCTTGATTTTACCTATGTGTGTGAGTCTGCCCCTTGCTTGTCATTTCAAATGGCGGGACTCAGCTCTCCACCCCATGCCCTGCATGGCACCCGAGGTAGTGGAAAAGGGGGTGCTGAAGAACGCCTAGAGGATGCAATGAAGCCACAGACACAGAGCAGAGTGGGAATGAGGTGGGCTTAAGAGGCAAGCAGGTGGAATTTACCCCTGGATTATGTCGAAGTCACCGCACCACAGAAACTGCAGGCGGAGAATCGAGTTTGTGAAATTCAGTGTAAAATACGCACAAGGTTGGTATAAATCAAATATGCCACAAACGGATGAAAAGTGGAATTTATCTTCAGCAGACAGGGCTGGCCTCATTACCCACGAGGGTCTTCACTCCCGTCTCTCCCCCCACGTGTGAGTAATGAGGCTCCTTGGCCCTTCTGAGCGCATGCGCTTTCTCTCCTCTGTGCTGGTGACAGCTTCAGGGATGAGCTGGAGATAGACGCGCTGTGTGACTCTACATTCTGATCCTTAGGACCAGATAGTTCATGCACACTTGCTTGACCTCCTGCCTCAGTGGCACCACCTTGCCAGAGAAGACAAACACCTGATCAGCTCCCTTTTCTAAAATAAAATAAACCATCTCGGCCCAGGCAAGCATGGTGGTGCCTGCTAGTAATCCCAGTGCCGAAGAGGTGGAGGAAAGCGGGTCACTGGGGCTCACTGGCCAGCTGGTCTTAACCTGGAGAGTTGCAGGCCAGGAAGAGACCCTGTCTCAAAGTGATGGCTTCTAAGGAGCAGCACCCAACACCACCATACACACCTGCACACACATGTAAGCTATTGGCTTGCAGGAATCAAATAATGACTGCCCATCGGGGTGGCTGGCTTTCGGAGCTCAGATCAGATTGGTAGATGAATTGAAGGAGGAACGGAGCAATAGATTTTTGTCTCGATCGCAAGGAGTTGATTTTGCTGAGAGCGCCCTGGTGCATGTTGGAGGTGAAGCAGGGGCTTCTGTGGTCCTGTATCCGTTCTCCGGGCCTTTATCCTGCTCTGCAGAACGAGTGTCAGAAAAGCCACAGCGAACATCCACCCGGCACAGACCCTTCTAGGATGCGCGTGGAGAGGGGGGCAGCTGAACCCTGAGCAGAGAAGGATGTGAACAGAATTCAGTGATTACAAGGTCATGGCCAGGTCCTTCTCAGCCTCCCTGGCCAGAGCCAGAAGAGGACAGGACCCCAGAACAGGACTGCTGCTCAGTGTGGGCCAACAGTAGCTCTGTTTGGCAGCTTTCGTCCATATCTGCTCCAAGCCCTCATTTACTCTGTGCACATGTTTACTCTGAAAGGGAAATAATTGCTGCTCAGAAGACAGTCCAAGAAATGCTGAATGCCTCCATTTTCTAAAAATATGTATCTCCAAAAACTGTTTTGATTCTCTCCACTTTCATTCGCTTTTCATTTTGAAGAGCTAAGTGGGGTAGCATCGTTGTGGTGACAAGCAGGGGCTCTGTAGCATGGGGCTGAGTCCTCAGGACACTGAGCTGCCCACGGCAGGTGCTGTTGGCTGCACTCAGGACACCCCGCAGGCCCACCTGGGCTGGATGCCCAGTGTCAGGAGCCCCTTGCAAGATAGGAGACCCACAAGGGAAGGGCCTGGACCTCCACATGGCTTCTGCCAAATGCCACTGCCTCTGCCGACCAACCAAGGCCACACTACAGCCTGCCGCTCCTGTGTTCAGACAGTCTTGGCTCAGTGGTTTGTGTCCAGGCTTGCTCAAGGAGCCACCCCACAAATACCAAGTGGAGAGGATGGACAAGAGCCAGAACAGGTGGAGTGTTTAGAACAGATAGCCCATTCTGTCCGCTGAGGGACAACCAGGAACCAAGATGGCACCCGAGCCCACCAGGTAGGCGTTTTCCTCAGTGGCTTAGGAGGAAGATGCTCAGAGACATGGAAGAGCGACAGTGACAGGATTTAGACAGTCTGTCACAGGCCACGCTAAGTAGGGGAGGCAGGAGAACGCATGCGCAGGTGTGTGCTGTCCATGTGGAGGCCAGAGGTCAATCTCAGCTGTTGTACCTCAGAGGCCATTCTCCATGTGCTTTGAGACAAGGCCTCTCAGTGACCTGGAGCTTGTCAATTAGGCTGGGCTGGCTGACAAGACCCAGAGATCTGCTTGTCTGTGCCTTCCCAGTGCTGGGATTGCATACAAGGCCACCATACCTGTCTTTCTCTCATGGATGCTGGGGATTAAACACAGGTCCTCACATCTGCATAACACACACTCTACCAAGTGAGCCTGTTCCACACTGCTCCCGTCCACTGAAGTCGGGAAAAGTCTTCCTCAAGAGTAAACCACAGGGACTGGAACACGGGCTGCAGGAACAACCCCCGAGTCCACACGGCCCGTCCTCATGTACCCAGTGGGCTGAGGCCCCCTGGCAGGGCCACCGAGAAGATCCTGTGTGTCAGCACACTCTGGGACCATGGCTCCTGCTTTGTGAGTCACACACAGGTGGGTGGCCTGGCCTCTAGGAATGGAAACACCTTATCCGAAGAAGAAGAAGCCCGGGCTGAGAGACAGCTCACCAATTCGGAGCACTTGCTGCTCTGCCAGAGGTCCTGAGTTCTGCTCCCAGCAGCCACATCACGTTAACCACAACTGCCTGTAACTCTAGCCCCAGGGATCTGGCACCCTCTGCTGCCCTCCAAAGGGCACCCACCTTCACGTACCCACTCACATGTAGGCGCACATGTGCAAAAAAAAATTATAAATTGTAAAACATAACTCATAAATTGTAAAAATAAGATAAAAAGATGAGGTGTCCCAGGATGTTCCTTGTTCACAGTACTGATGGTCCCTTGGGCCTGTCCATAGCCCTTGCTCACTGTCCCCCTCCAATCCTGTCACCTGGGTGTTGGCCAGCTAGTACCCTGTGAGACCAACTCCAGTGTTCAGAATGGCCGTCCACTGCCGCTATGGGGCTTGGTGGTTCCTCTCACCAGCTCTTTGTCTTTCCTACCAACCCGCAGTGCTGTGCATGTGTCCTCTCCACATCCCCAGACTTGTCCCTTCTTCGATCCTAGTTCTGCTGAGGGTGCCCAGCACCCACAGCAGCCCATGCCCATAGCAGGCGCACACAAGCATTTATTGAGGGTAGAGGCGTTTTCCTCACCTACCAAGTGAAATTCTTGGTTCCCTTTGAAAACCGCCCACTCTAATACAAACACAGGCCCGGCATTTCTCCAGGGCAGTTTTGCTAACGATAGTGTCTGGTAGCTTTTCTCCAGGACACCTTGTCATGTAAACAGTGCGCCAAGCCTGCAGAGCCCCTTCCAGATTAGCTCCTGGCTGAGCAATCAAGTGGTCACAGTAGAGTGGGCATCTAGAGTTGCTTTTTTTCCTGGCTTTAGGTGTCTGAGGTGGCTTCTCTTTCAGGGAGAAACTCCTGGGTCATTATGAGGAGATCAGCAAGGCACTCAATGTGCTAGACAAATCCAAGACGCCTGCACCCCTCTGCAAGGTGCAGAAGGTGCTGCAAGAATGTGGGTGTCCCCTGAAGGAGGAGGAGCTCATCAGTCTTCTGAAGAGGTTGGCTGCCCTCCCTCCCTCCCTCCCTCCCCCTGGGGTGGTATGCTGTTCTTTTTCCTTCTCCTCCATCTACTCACACAGCCTTTGACCTTGAGGTGACCTCCACTTGTTGCTCTGCTGTTCTGTGTTTTAGCCAGAAGCAAAGAGACCAGTTTGACAAGGGCTTAACTTCTCCCAGTGCCCAGTTCCCACAAAGCAGCAGCCCTTTTGCCCCTGGCCCTGCCCCTGCCTCCTGCCCCCACAGTCAACAGCTTTTAGCTGGTGGCCTTGGAACGGAGCGTGTCCTTTTCTAGATGGCAAGCTTAGGTCAATACTTCTTGATTCATTCATTTTTTAAACTTGCAAGCATTGTTGACAGCTAAGGAGGACATGGGCTTTAGTCTGTGTCTCCACTGTCTCCCGTCCATCCTCCATTTCCACCATCTCACACAAACACACGGAACGTACTGCACAGTTGTCTGTGTTGCTGGGCCTGACTCTGGGGGGTCCACAAGCAGGATATACCTTCTGGTAACCAACCTTCACTTTTCCTCTCTACATAGTACTATCCCCAGGGTCATGTGACCACTTTTCCTGTTTGCTTACGGTCCTAGTCCCTTGTCACCTCGGATAAGTCGCCAGCTCACCCGGTAACAAACGTCTCCATCCAGCATGTCCAGCCTCCTAAGGCATGCTGTTTTGTGTTCTGTGATTTGGGGGAGTTCTCTTGACTTAGCTCATTAGTGAGTTCCTTTCCTTTGTTCATCTTGAGGCTCCTGTTGCTGAACACTGGGCCACCCTGACTTGATCCCTCAAAGGTCTCGATCTTTCTCCATTAATTTGTATCTCTTACTTTTCACTCGGGATTTTGGGAGGGTCCTGGAGGTTCTCACTGCCAACTCTTGTTCATCCTACTGCCTTCCAGTATTCAGTGCTCAGGCTTGTCCTCTGGGTGTCCTTGTCTTGCAGCGGGCATCCTGTTCTCAGTTCATGGACATCCGGTCTCATTTATCAGAAATAAACAAACTTTTTCAAAGTTTTCTTGGTGCGTGTATAACACAAATCTTAAAAGGTCTTATAATAAAAAACCCAGAGCCAGATATCAGGGTGAAAGCTGAAAGATTAGAGAAGCAGAACAGCCAGCCACTAGTTCTTACCTCTACGAAACCCTCAGCCTCAAGAGAGCCAGTTCCCGTTTCCTCATGCCTTATATACCTTTGTGTGTCCTGCCATATTAGTTCCTGGGATTAAAGGTGTATGTCACCACTGCCTGGTTCTGTTTCTCTCATGTAGCCCAGTGTGGCCTTGAACTCACAGAGATCCAGACACATCTCTGCCTCCTGAGTGATAGGATTAATGGTGTGTGCCACCACTGCCTGACCTCTATGTCTAATTTAGTGGCCGGCTCTGTCGTCTGATCCCCAGGCAAGCTTTATTGGAGTATACAGTATATCACCACATGTGTTTGTGTGGTGGGTAAAGGCACTTGCCGCCAAGCCTGGCCGTCTGAGTTTTATGTTCTGGGTTCTGGAAGGAAAGAATGAATTCCCACAGGTTGCGCTCTGACCATGCATGTACATATGTACTCATGATAAATACATCAATAAAAATTTAAAGTCTTAGCCGGGCGGTGGTGGCACACGCCTTTAATCCCAGCACTTGGGAGGCAGAGTCAGGCGGATCTCTGTGAGTTCAAGGCCAGCCTGGGCTACCAAGTGAGTTCCAGGAAAGGCGCAAAGCTACACAGAGAAACCCTGTCTCGAAAAACAAAACAAAACAAAAAAAAAATTTAAAGTCTTTTAAATACAGTTTTCTTTCCCTGAGAAATCTTTCCTCAGTGTTACATTTGCAACCGTCCTTCATGTTGGGCGTGCCTTTCAAGAGCATGCTTATGTTACCAGGGATGCTGGGAGAAGAGTAGAAGGGAGTTCCCCAGAGAGGTGAGTCTGTCATGGTTCAAACTACAGGGAAACCTGACACATTATCTCCTTGGACTCCCTGGGGATGCTCAGAGTTAATGAAGACTAGTGAGTTGTCAGATTAAACCTACGGCTGTCTGTCTGAAACTCTATCCCTGGGAATCCTGGACACCGTGGGAGGACTGTGGAATCACTTAGTAGGCTGCCCTGGGCCAGACCCCCAGTATATCCAGTTCCCAGCCCCGAGTTCCCTTCGGAAGGACAGTTGCCCTGGAGACAGAACTTGAGGTCTTAGACCTCTCAAATGTTCTGGCTCCTGCTCCTGTCTCCCATGTGACTTTTTAAAAAAAGATTTATTTATTATGTACACAGTGTTCTGTCTGCATGTGTGCCTGCATGACAGAAGAGGGCACCAGATCTCATTACAGACGATTGTGAGCCTCCATGTGGTTGCTGGGAATCAACTCAGGACCTCTGGAAGAGTAGCCAGTGCTCTTAACCTCTGAGCCACCTCTCCAGCCCCCATGTGACTTCTGGCAAAGAGACTGCTGTGCCACGCGTATCCCATGTAGGGACACTCTGCACTTCCCTCTGCTCCTTTCATGGTCTTTCTTTCTGTCTTTGGTATCGATCATGTGGTTTGAATCTGGTGTGCCTGGGTACAGGCTGGTCTGCCAGTTTGCAGCTGCCGTGCCTGGGTATAGATTTGCCTGTGTTTGCCTCGCTTCGTGGACCTGTGGCTTGGTTCCTCCCATTTCTCCTGGAAGTCTCAGCCATGATTACCAAATGTGGGCAAGGCCACCGTAGTTTCTCCCTGCTTCTGCTGTAGGGCCCCTGTCTGTCCTGGGAGTCTGTGTCTCCCTTTCTGCTTTCTCGGCCCCTCTCTTTTTGGCCTGGGGTCTCCTTCCCCTCAGAGCTCATGCTGGTCATGGCTGTTTTAACTGCCCTGCTGCTGGTCACACTATGGTGGGGATTCTTGCTTTTCTCTTCAGACTTCTAGACTTCTAGAACGTTGTATGACTGTTACTGACAGCCCGGCACACTAAATGCATAGAGGGAGGGAGGGAGGCAGGTGTCTCTGCCTTGACGTCCATGTGACTCTGGACAGGAGTTGAGCTGTTGGGTGTTGTCTGTGTTACCAAAGCCGAGGGCTGCAGGTTGCTCACACCATTTGTCTCTACTGTTTTTCTGGGTTTCTCTAGGAAGCGCTTTGAAACGGTGCCCAGATCTTGGTTGTCATCTGTGACCCTTCCACTGTTGGCCTGTGGTAAGGGATTGTTGGTCAAGGGTTGGGTTCTGTGGTGTGATGGAGCTGAGCCCGTGGCCCTGGGCTGCCCACCCTCAGGCCTTTTATAAAGCCTTCCTTCTCTCCGTAAGCAAGACAGGAAGTCTGTCAGGGCTGCAGGCAGCTCAGCTGGCCTAAGTGGTGCTCAGATGAAAACCACGTCGGAGACAGCTCTGGTACATTCACAAGGATATTCTTAACCTTTCCAGAACATGAAGGACCTTTCTCGGGTCTTCAGAAAGAGAAGCTGGCAGGAGTCCTGAAGGTAAAGCCCACAGAGTGCTGGGCACTGAGACTGGGCCACTCATCGACTCAGCTGGGCACTGAGACTCCCTTGCACACTCAGCCTCTCCAGCAGAATCCTGCTAGCCCTGAGTCTGTCTGTGCATGTGCCTGTCTTTCCAGATTTCAGGGCTACATTTTCACTGTGACCTCACTTCCCTGATGGGCCCAGGGAAAGTCATAGGCATCCAGTGTGTTCAGTTTCTTCTTGACGGACTGAGGGCCACGCTGCTGAGTCTGCTCACAGCCAAATCTTTGATTTCCTGATCCCTATTCTGCCTTTTCCAGAGTCCTTCCTGAAGTAACTTTCTAGAAAAGGATAAGCAAGTACGTTTCCTGTGTTATTTCATTCTGAAATGTTTTCCCTCATACAGATTGTTAGCTTGTACGCACAAGGAAGAGAGTAATTTTCCTTTCTGGTTTTAAAAACATTGCTTTATTATGTACATGCTGCAAGAAGCTTACTGCTAGTGCGAATGTGTGAGTGTGTGTGTGTGTGTCTCTATTGTGTGTGCATGTACATACTGTGTGTTGTATGCATGTGTATATTGTATAATATAGTGTGTGTTTATATATAGTATATATTATAGTATATATGTGTGTTGTGTGGTGTGCACATGCATGTATGTTTATGGTATGTGTGATGTGTACTTCATGTGTGTTTGTGTTATTTGATATGTGTATGTATATGTATGTATATATGGTGTGCATGTATGTAGTATATATATGCATATGTGTGGTATGTGTGTGGTATGTATGTATTATATCATCTATGTGTGTATGCTGTGTATATGTGTGAGGTATGTGTTTGTGGTATGTGTGGAGTGTGGGCATATGTTGTATGATATGTGTGATATGTGGAAATGGAGGGCCATACCATCTTGAACTGCTCACGTGTTCTCTCCTTTCAGGGTCTCCTCACTGAATCTATTTCCAGCTGAATAAGACTTGATATGTTCAATGAATAAATCATGGGAAAATAGATGCAGATAAATAATTAGTTAAATGCTTCTGAGAGATTCTTGTTAAATCGTAGTTAGACTTGATACTTTTATAAACAGCACAAAAGGCCTCGGAGCGTCTGCACTCCACCTTTCAATGGGTGATCAACTTTTCTGTGCCGGGAAGCCTTAATAAGGATCCATCACTCAGTCGCTTGTTCCTCCTCAAAGACCCCTTGATGATAAACATCTTGGCTATTGGTAATTACATGTAGATTATTCGTTCCCAGATCCAAAATAGACTTTTCTAAACCCTAGCGAGGAGGTTCGCATATGCATTTGCTTTATTGCTGCATTTTAATACTGCGCTGGCAGCTCCTCCCTGCACGTGAAGCGGCGCTGATTGTCTGTCTCCGTGGGTCCCTGTCACGTGATCCAGGCCACCGCAAGCAGGCTGGGCTGCTCTGCAGCTGCAACTTGCAAAGCCAGGCTCTCGCCTCTTCCTTCAGTCCCTGGAAACTTCTCTCCCTCTGGAGCTTTCCTATTCTGACGCTTGCTCTTTTCCATCTAGCTGATGGAAAATCCGGGCACTCAGGGGCCCCAAGAACTTAATCACAGAAGTAGCAGCCTTTTGTTTGTATGCACACATGTGTGCAGGTACACACATACACATGGATGTTGTCTGCCTTTTATTATTATTATTATTATTATTATTATTATTATTATTATTATTATTATTTTGAGATAGGGAACTGGCCTATAACTCACCAAGTAGGCTATGCTAGCAAGCCCCAGGCATCCATGTGTCTCCTCCACCTCCACACCTAGCCTTTTGTTTATGTTTAACAAAAACAAAGACAGGGTATAGGATCAAATTCAAATCCTTGTTCTTATTCAGCAAGTGCTTTTCCGTCTGAGCCGTGGCCCCAGCCCAGGAGCTGGGAGCATGAAGGCATGAAACTTTACTCTGTGTCACTGGTGTCTTTAATAAACGCACTGGGTGTTTGTAGGAAACTCTCCAACCTTGCTCAAGTTATTCTTTCGGAATTTAAAGGGAATTGTTTCCCAGTCTGAGTTGAGGGCACACAGGGGCTGTCATTGCGGCGTGGATGTCCTTGTGGGGACGTAGACTGAGATGGAATTTTTACCGAGGAAATAATAAGCTAGATAGGTTTTTGCACAACAGCCTCGGAGAGCTTTTGGCTTGACAATCTCATTTCAGTCAGACTCGGGAAAGAATCTAGTGTGTCTGTCTCCGGTGTGCTCCTTCTGAGTCCCATGGCCACACCTCCCTGCACACCCCATAGTTAAGGCCACCGCTATGACAGGAACTTCCTGTCCAGCTTGCAGCTCAGATGGCTGAGGCCCAGTGAGTTCTGCTATCCTCCTCAGGCAGTCCTCCCACAGATGCCCCAGGGGTGGGCCAGCACCTTCCATCCAGCAACCCTTGCTGCCTCCTGCTCTTTAAGCTCTGAGTCCCAGTGCCCAGCCGTCAGGTCCTAGGTCTTCAGGACAAGGCAGCCCATGGCCTCACCTCTCAGTCTTACTTATCATAGCCCTCACTTGGTTCCTCTTTGTGGTGGCATCCATGTGCGCACATCAGAAACCAGCACAAGCGGGCATGTGCCAGCAGGGTGGGCACCCTCCCTTCCTCTTCAAATCATTCTCTCCCCCCCACACTGCCCCCGTATTCAGCAACTGTTTGTTGAATGAATAAGCATTTTTTTTTTCAACGAATCTCTTCTTTTCTTTTGTGGGAGAAGCTTGGGCATCAGTGTGCACAACAGTTGCATCCATCCCCTCGACTTGTTGAGAGCACTTGAGATCCACAGGACAAGCAAAGCTCAGCCGAAAGAAAAAGACGAAGGCACACCGGTCAACTTTTCCAAGCTGAACCCCGAGGAGGTGGTGAAGAACATGCAGGCCATTGTGGACTCCTCCCAGCCTGCTTTGGTAAAGGTATGGTAGATTGCAAGGAGCCCCGTCCTGTAACTCGCCTCCGTCGCTCCCAGCGGCTCCAAGCCCTGTCCAGATCCACCTCTCCCCAGTCTCCTGAGCATCTGCTCAGTCCAGGTGAGGTTCCAGATCCGAGCAGCTGTGCCTCCGCGGTTAATCTGTAAAAAGCCACCCTGACACCTCTCTGCCCATTGAGGTGGATTCAGCAAGCACCAGGCAAGCTGAGGCCACAGAGCCAGGCAGAGAAGACAAGAGGGTCAAGGGACAAGCTGGGGTCACAGGGCCCGCGGGAAGATGAGGCCAACACCTCAGGCTGTGTTCAAACTTCCACACCTGTACTTTGGCACACATGTGCCCACATTCGTACACACACGTATAATTTGTTTTAAAGGGCAGAGAGGCTGGGCAGTGGTGGTGGTGGTGCATGACTTTAATCCCAGCACTCGGGAGGCAGAGGCAGGCGGATCTCTGTGAGTTCGAGGCCAGCCTGGGCTACAGAGGGAGTTCCAGGACAGGCTCCAAAGCTACACAGAGAAACCCTGTCTTGAAAAAACAAACAAGCAAACAAAAAAGGGCAGAGAGGCTGAATGGCAATGGTTCACACACCTCACAAGCTCTCAGTGTGCTTAAGCGAGTGACCCATGGGGATGAGTGATGTTAAAGTGGCCTTCAAACGATTGAACAGGACAGGATGTGTCACAAAGATGGCTGTGGAGGAGACCAGAAAGCCATGGATTATCTGAGGAGAAGGGTGTTTGGCTGCTCTCCCCTGGGTGCCCCCATTTGCATGATGTGGTGCCTCAAGCTATGCTGGTGATTTGGAAAGAGTGATTTGGAACTATGCTCCTGAAGGAGTGTCCCCAGCCTGGTCCACAGGTGGCTGAGGTCGTCATACCAACCCCAAGGGACAACAGTCAGCTCAGACTAACAGATTGCCAAAGGCCACTAGGACCAGGTGCATGAGGCCCTCACCAAGAAGAACCCCCCCCCCCAACACACACACACAGCATCATCCCAGCCTCCACACCAGGAGGGCTTGGCTTGCACTGATGGAGGCCTCCAGAGCTTTGCAGTCATGCCCCTGCCTGCAGGGTGCTGTGGTGGGGTACCAACCCTCATGAGAACCTATGGATTTTCTCTCTCCTTGAGCACAGCCTACAGTCTGGCGTCATTCTTTCTGTTCTACAGGAGGGGGAACCGAGACTTAGGGTGAAAGAACTTGCCATAGCCTCACCGGTCATAGGTAGCAGAGTTGTGAACATGCCTGGAAAGAGAAAAGGACCAGTCCATGCCCTTTTCTAAATCTGGGAGCCCTAGCTGGGCATACTGGCTCACATTGCTTGGGAGGCTGAGGCACGAGATTTGCCACAGGTAGTAGATTAGCCTGATCTATGTAGAAAGAACCCTGTCCCTGGAGAAACGTTGTAGAGAAAGATACAGAAAGGTGGATTTGGACTAGCAAGGTAAGGAGATGCCACTGAACTTGGCCTCCATCCTACTAAGCCAGCACGCCAGTATCTAGCTCTCTGTGAGGACTTACTTAGCATCCCAGGTCATTAACCAGAAGCAAAGGTAGCTTCACAGGGTAGCATCCATGCGAGCTGTAGGAGGCCGGGCATTCTCAGGCTTGTCAGTTTCAGGACCAGCCAAGTCTCCCAGTTTCTGCACGTTGGCCCTTTTTTCAGATTTCTGGAAGCCCCATGCAGGAAACAGAACTCCATGTTCAGGGTGGCTTGTTCTTCTTTGGGCCTCCAGTGGCACAGCTTGGCATCTCTCAGGATGTTTCTGAAGCTGGGGACCGTGGGCCTCGGGAGGAACCACAGTGGTTCCTTCTGAAAGCGCTCTTTGTGGGGCATGAGGTTCTGTAGCAGAGAGTACAGGAGGTGAGCTGTGGAGTGGAGGGAGGCTGAGGGGAGGGAAGAGAGGGAGGGGTGAGGCTGGTTCAGGATGGCCACTAGAGGGGCATCCAAATACCTCGCTCAGTGCCACTGCAGATGCCACATACCTGTCTTGTTTCCAGACAATAGAGCAACACTGTGCCCTTGCAATGTCCTATAGATTTCAAAACCCTTTCCTACTCAGCTCCCACCCCCGTGCTGTGGCCAGCAGACTGAGTTTCCACACAGATGCCAGGGAGCTTCTGGCCCCGTGGCCGGAGGGAGCTGGACCCACATCGCTTCTCAGCTGTTCCCCAGCGCGTCATGGTGCCATCTCCCCACACCACATGGCTTCTAGCATCCTCACGGCAGTACACACTAGCTCGTTTCCTGGCTCTTCTTTCAGATCGCTCTGCTCGTGGTTCCCACATCCTTGTACTCTCCAGTCAAAGACTCCCTCACAACCACCCTCAGCCAAGTCTACCTTTATGGAGAATGTGCTGAGGTGGAGAGAGATCTGGACTTAGCAGAGCAACTCAGGCCAGGACCAGGGCCAGGGACTGCCCCACGGGTGTCCCCGCTGTGCCCCACTGTGCCCCGCTGCCTCAGAGGCTGCAGGCTGAGAAGCTCTGTAGCATTTTGTTTACATATTCTCCCTGCTCCCAAGGTGTGCCCAACTAGCACAGATCTGGAAAGAGGGCTCAGGGGAGGTGGGCTGGGGGTTGCAGGCATGCTCCGTTTTCACTTTTAAAACCAGCGTCTGAACTCCACCCCTTGATACAAACTTCCTAGCGCAATAAGAATGAATGGTTTTGCCAGGTGGCGGCGGTGGCGCACGCCTTTAATCCCAGCACTCGGGAGGCAGAGCCAGGCGGATCTCCGTGAGTTCGAGGCCAGCCTGGCCTACAGAGTGAGATCCAGGACAGGCACCAAAACTACACAGAGAAACCCTGTCTCAAAAAAAACAAAACAACAAACCCAATAAAACAAAACAAAAGAATGATTGATTTTGTTTGGACAGATGGGGGGGAAACGTGTGTACTTTTTATAGCACGTTTTTACACCTTCCCAGCTGACGACTGCACGACTTGACCCGCGCGCGTGTGCGCGCGCGCGGTTTGTCATGATTACCGCACGGCCCGACCTGCAGTGTGTCAGGATGGCTGCGTGGTTTGGCTCACGGTGTGGGCACAGCTCCTCAAGCGCGGGCTGAGACGTTCGATTGCCAGTGACGCGCACCAGCTTTTCCTGTGTTTGTCTGTTTTAGGCCTTTTCCGCGCTGGATAAAGAGGACACGGGGTTTGTGAAGGCTATGGAGTTCGGAGACGTCCTGAAGAGCTTCTGTCATAAGCTGACAGATAACCAGTATCACTACCTTTTGAGGAAATTAAGACTTCACCTAACACCCAGCATACACTGGAAATACTTCCTGGAGAACTTCAGCTCCTTCCTGGAGGAGGTAAGGCCGCGTCCTGCAGCACACAGCTGATTCCAACACCATCGTCAGAGCATCCCAGATGAAAGACTGATGAGCTCTGCGGAGTGCTGGAAGGGAGAGCGTGCCCTCTACTTTGCGGAGAAGCTTGCTTTGATTTGGTGGTTTTTGCACGCAGGGCCTCTTTGGTCTGGCGTCCAGAGAAGCGAGGCCCGCTGTGTCCAGACTGCGGGCGGCACTGGCAGAGCCCCAGGCCGAGGCGAATGTGGAGGTGTGGTGGGTTCTGACAGCACAGGTGGAAGGGAGCAGCCCCCCGGGAAGCCAGGGGAGACCTCAGGGTCGATGGCAATGGCTGCCCACGGGGGCTCTTCTCTGTCATCTCCGGAGAGTGACTCTGGAGGGACTGGTCACTCGTTGCCAGCTTGCTTCTTACGTCCGCAGAAATGGGTCAGCATCACCGACAGCAGTTCCAGCCTAGCTGAGCGAGGGGACACCATTCCGCATGGCACTCTGTGCTGAGGGGGCGGGGACGCAGCTGCTGTGACCCCTGCCTTGATGGAGGGAAGAATTTAAATGGAGGAGGAAGAAGGGGGTACAGGAGACTGCAGAAAGCTCATGCTAGACGGGGCTGCTGTTCTCTGAGCTGGCTGCTCTGGGCCTTTCTGGATGTCCTTTCCAATGGCCTGCCTATGTGTGACCATGTGTTGAGCCATGTGTCCTCGGTCATATATCGCAGATAAATCCCTAGAGAGGAGAGAGCCAGAGCAGGTGGCAGGAACCTGCTGGGTAGGCACCACCTCATAAAATGCCAATTTTATAGGTCACGATAAAATGCCGATTTTATAGGTGACGACTCTGGCCCAGAGGTTCTGGGTGATCTCCCCAGTGAGCGAGTGAGGGCTGATGTGTGAACCCAGGAGGCCTGGCTTCCGGGCTCCCATTTGTGAAAGTCCTCCTGCCTCAGCCTCCCAGGCTGGGGATTACAGTCATGAGCCAGTATACCCAGTTTTCACTGATGTTAATGCATCTGCTTTAGTCCTCTCATAAGCTGTTATAGAAATAATCTCCATATTAAATGGAAATATTCTCTGTCAAGAGCACGCTAGTGTTCGTGTGTGTGTGTGTGTGTGTGTGTGTGTGTGTGTGTGTGTGTGTGTGTGTGTGTGT